GCGCGGGCACGGCCGCTGTCAAAAGTTTCCCGTTTAATTACCGGGAGCGCAGATTGTTTCTGTGCACCAGTAGTGCCCTGGGGCGGGTGGTGTGAGCCGGGCTGCCCCGAGCAGCAGCTGCACTGAATATCGCTGGTTCAGCCCGTATTTGGTCACTTTTGGGTTTAGAAGACATGGCCACGGGTATGTTTTAGTCCTTTTGTCTTAGAGAATCTTCTCGTTGAAGGCTTCAACTTCCAAGCCCAGCCCTGCTGTGGTGGTGTCTGTGGGAACACCACCGTCCTTGGACAGTTGCAGCTGGAGGAGGGTAATTTCCCTCCACGAAATGTTTGACCCAGATCTGTCTTGAACCTCAGTTAGGGACTAGGAAGTGCAAGAAGTAAAATAACTTCAGTGTCTCTCGGGTGGCGAGTGAGAGCAGGTCAGAGGTGTGGTTTCAGGGCTGCTTGTGGAGGTGTTTAGGGTGGCTGGTTGGCCCTCAGGTGGTCACACCTGGCTGTAAGGAGCTGTGGTGATGCAGATCTGTGCAGGTATAGGAGTGCCAATCCATGAGGTCAGGGATGGTCCAGCTGCCTGCAGTTGGTGTGAGTGGATCCCTGGTTTCCTCCCTCCCCTGTCAGTGGTACTCAACTGGTGAGGATACCTGTGTTCCTCTTGTGTAGCATATGGACTTGTGAAGAAATAGATTTATGGGGTTTGAGGGTGATTTGTTTCCTTGTTTTTTTCTGTTCTGTGTGGTTTGGTTTTGTCAGCCTGGTCTATGAATTGCAGCACATAAACATTCAAAAGGGTGAGTCCAGTGAGACTCACATCTGGTACTGAGGATGTTCAGGATAGATCTTGGTGCTTCTGACTAAGATTTCTTTGGCTATTGGAGTGTTTTCATACTGCTTGCCAGAAGGAAACCCAGTCAAACATCTGTCCCATCAACTTACATCATCTTTTATGTGTAATTTAAAATATTTTAGACCCACACATGGCTTTGCTTGAAGAACTGGAGAAGGGCATGAAGCAGCCACTGTGGAACTTTACTGCAGGAGCCTGGTGGGCTGGTTCCCATTGTGCATTTCTCCTTGGGATCCAGGTGCTCTGGGCCAGGTGTGTCACTGCAGGTGGCAGGGATGCTCTCTTGGTAGGTGACCCTGGGGGCAGAGGCTGTGCTAGGTGACCTTGCACAATGTCACCTCATTCAAATCTCCTGAGCTGTGACAGGTGAAAAAAATTAGTATTTTTAGGCTGCCCAAAGCAGCACATGAGACTGTGACTCGAAAGCCTAGTACACCTCCTCAGCCTCATGTGTCAGGGTAGGGATCTCTTCACACAGTTTCTCTCACCTGTCTTTTGGCCAGGACCTCAGACACAGTGGGTGCAAGAGATGTCTAAGCCTCCACAGCATCTTAGAGCCATTGATGAACCAGAAATAGAAGGATCTCATACTAGATTATCCACTTAGAGAGACCTACAGTTGCGTAGCTGCACTTCCAGCTTGCAGGACTGATTGTAAACCCACTAAAAATAGATCTTTATTTCACACTAGTCTTACACATGCTCCCTGTCAAAATGCTTTTAATTTCCCTCTCTGACGTGCACTGTTGTATTTTGTATTCCTCTCAGCGTCTCTGAGAATCACAGGCAAAAGTGCTTTTCAATGTTGCTACTCCTACAGAGCTGAAACTCCTCACGTTCCACAAAATAAGCCTTTAAAGATTCATGTGGACACCCAGAGCCATGGCACGAGCCCACAAGTGCTGTCAGAGCTGGATGGCTAGTAAATTAATTGGGGGAGTGATGTCAACTTCCATAACTAGGGGCACACGAACCCTTGGCTATAAATAGTGCAGTGGGGAAAATTCTGTTTTGGGGGCAAGGAATAACTGATGTTGAAGTTGTAGCTCCAGGTGGAAGGCTGATAGTGTCAGGCTGGAGGGGGGGGGAGGGCCCATGCTAGAGACTGGGATTTGGTGTCTAAAGCTTGCAGAGTCTTCTCTCTCCCAGTTCTTCCATTAAGTGCTCTGTACACTTAATACAGCTCTTGATTGGAAATTGTTCCCCTGAGCATGGATTCTTTTATCCATATGTAAATGCTCCTCCGTGCTCAGTTTTAGGCCGTGTACTTCGCTTGCTGTGTCTGTCACTGGAGAGAGGTTTGAATCATTCCCTGATTTTTTGGAACAGGAGTGTTGCATGTTGCAGATCTCTCTCGGCTCTGGAGTGATGCGTTTCCCCATGTCAGCTGTCTGCTGCCTGTGAGTGACAGGGTGACAGCTCAGGAGGGAGGCATGGAGACCTCTAACCTATGGAGGGAGGGAAAAGGGTGATGGAGCTGTATGAACTCGGAATGAAAATAGTTTACTGTCTCTGAATGTGGCTTGCTTTGATCTTTAAACTCTGTGTTTTCTTTGGGTTTTATCTCTGGTTACCTAAGTTCTCAAATTCCCTTCCCTATCCAGGTTCTCGCCTCATTTTCAGATGCTTGTGAGCTTCAAACATCTGCAAAATACCTGGTGGGTGGATATGATTTAAGAAATTCCTTTTATAGAGAAGGAACAGTGTTTTGGATTGGTAGGGACCTTAAAGCTTCTCTCCTTCCATCCTCTGCCCTGGACAGGGACACCTTCTACTAGACCAGATTACTCCAAGCCCCATCCAACCTGGCCTTATCATGACATAATTAAGGTGCAGAACTGTAGGGACATGAGTTGAGTTTTTCTTACTTGCAGAGGGTGGAGATGGTTTGAGGTGCAAACAGTGCCCTGCACAGCTTTGGGGTGTTTTTCCACGTGTCCTGTCGGTGTGGCTCAGTGGGCAGTGCCTTGTCCCAGTGCTGCATTGACTCACTTCTAGATGTTCCTGGTGGAAATGGGGTGTTTGGGTCCCTCCACTGGCTTCCCACACGAGTCAGACTGAGAGACAGCACCATGTTGCTGACTCCTGGGGCGTGGGGACAAACACAACCAGGGCTGTGCATGGTGAGGGAATTCAGACCTGGAGTCACAATCAAAAAGTTCCTGCGTGAATTCCCATTGCTGCTTTCTGTGGCTGTTCCAGGCCATGTCCTGTGCCTGTCTCACCTTCCTTTGGCTTGCTCAGCCCCAAGTCTGTGGAGCTCAGTGCCTTTGCATTCTGAGAGCAGCACTGTCTGCTGCCAGGGAAGGCGCAGGAGCCGCTGGCGCGTGGTCGGCAGCTGTAGGGTAATCTGCTCCCAAAGAAGCAGCATGGTTTACATCTACTGCAGCTTATTTTTGCTCATTGTTTCCTGTTTATGTGGGTAATCTTCTTATCCACAGAAATGTCCGGTCCTCTCTTTGAATCCTTGAGTTCTTGCTTCTAGTCATTTTGGAGCAGTAAGTTCCACAGGCTTTAAAAAAAACAGTAATAACCTCTTTAGTTCTTTGTATATAAGTGACAATTCCATTCTTCACATAATATGTGAAGGGATGAGTTGTTATTCATTGTATTGCCTTTTAATATCTGATTTTTCTCATTTTATTTCAAAGGCAAGCACTCCAAATCTTTTGAGTGTCTCTAGCTGTATTTTTTCCTACATCCTTTACTTGTTACTTTGTCCTCTGCTGGATTCTATCCTTCTCTGATATGAATTCTTACTCTTACCTGTGGTTCCCTTCCTGGGATGGAGCGAAGATGAAATGAATGCAGTAAGCCCAGGAAGGTGCACTATTGGATTGTATGGCTGTGCAGTAATACTTTTAGTGGCAGAAAAATACAGGACGCTTCGTGGAGAGGTAGGAGAACATTTACATCATTAAAGATCACTGACCACTGTTCACTTTTGGAGGTTTATGTGGCAGCAACTCCATCTAATGTATAGTTACGTCTGGTAAAACTTCCCCTGGGGTCAAGGCCAAATTCTGCTGCTCTTTCTCCCCCATGTTTTTATTTCAGTGAATTAGGGACCACATAAAGGTAAAGCCTTTTGTGCTGCTTGTTTTTTGAGGTAGCCTGAATTTTTTACCATGTGTCTTTGCAGCTGAATCAAGTTTGAAGAGGCACATTATTGGGTCTGAGCTGCAGCTGATGGAGTGGTTCTGGGAATGCAGAAGCCAGTTCTGTAATGACATGTGGTCTTTCTGTCTTTTCAGGTGCTGGAAAATTACTCAGATGCTCCTATGACCCCAAAACAGATTCTGCAGGTCATAGAGGCTGAAGGACTAAAGGAAATGAGGTTAGTATTGATGATCTTGTCTAAACCAGTGTGCAGCATGGGGGAGGCAGCATATGAAGGCTCATTTTGCTTCATGCAGTTCTGCCTCATTCCCAGCCCACTTTGCTTCCCTTTTTCTCTTTCCAGCCTGGTAATTTCAGATGACAGTGCAGACATTTATATACAGGTTGTGGGGTGGGTTTTTTTCTTTGACAATAAGTGGAAGCTGTTCTTGGATTTTTTTTTACAACATCCAGAGTTTCATGCATGTGTTGTGAAATAAATGCCTCTTGCAGATCAGCCCCCTGCATTGTGCTGTGCTTGCCACTCACTCACGTGGTCCTCTCATAAGTAGCTCCCAGCAGTTTCTGCTGTTGTGACTCGAGTTTGAGAACAGTTTAAGTTTCATCTCCTCTGATAATTCTTTTCTAGAGCAGACATTATCTTCTAAGAGACTCACTTTATTTTGTGTCACTGGCTGATGCTCAGGGTCTCGAGCATGAGGTGGCTCAAACAGTTGTGGCTCTTGACATTGTATGGAGGAGATGTCCATCTCAGAATGATAATGGAACCTTGGAAAGGGCAGAAGTGGGAGTCTGTTTTTCTTAGTTAAGTTCCCATGAGCTTCCATCTGTTTCCATGACAGTAGTAAAATCCAGAGTGTCTTGTAGCTCAAAGCAAGTGGGTAACTGTGATAGTCCAAATGCCTCAGTTAGTGCTGCCTGGCAAAAAAGAAAATAGGAAGTTTGACTACCAGGGACAGAAAAAGCTGCTGCCCAGTGATGGACTGCTGGGGAATCCAGATGCATGGGCTGTTTCTAGTCTTGCATCTATCTCCCCTTCCACAGTCCCTTGTGGACTGTTTTCCAGCCTGGTGTTTGCATTTCCTGAACCTGTACTTTACAGAAGGTAAAGTGATTTCTTCTGGGACCTAACAACTCCAAATGTTAGCTTGTTTCTGCTCATCGTTTGTGTGAGCTCAGGAAACAGCTGGGATGGTTTGAACAGTGGAAATAGGTGTTGTGTACAGAGGTGTTGTGTGGGGAGCTGCTGTTTGGAGAGGGATGAGCCTGGTGTGTGCTGCTGCATCTGATTCAGAGCTGTTGGAGTACCCGTCTGCCATGTTCTTACAAGAGAGGAGAGGAACTTTTCACAAGGATACATAGTGATAGGACAAAGGACAATGGTCTTAAGGTGAAGGAGGGTAGATTTAGATTTGATATTGGGAAGGAATTCCTTCCTGTGAGGTGCTGAGGCACTGGCACAGGTTGCCCAGAGAAGCTGTGGCTGCTCCATCCCTGGAAGTGTTCAAGGCCAGGTTGGATGGGGCTTGGAGCAACCTGGGCTAGTGGAAGGTGTCCCCACCCATGGCAGAGGGTTGGAATGAGTTGAGCTTTAAGGGCCCTTTCAACCCAAACCATCCCATGATTCTATGATCCTCGCTGAGGAGATCTTCACTAGTTTGGGTATGGACAGTGGTTTCACAGCTCTTGACTAGAATTCAGGCAGATTTTAAGGTGGACCTTCACAGAGCTTTGCTTTAATCAATCTTCTACAACTCTCTCGCATCAGTCCTGTGGCTTAAGCAGGCAGTGCACAGTCTGTCCTCTGCCAAAGGTAATAGCAGGGCTCTTTACACATACAAATTGTCCTGTGCTCTCCCAGTTTTTACAAGTGACCTGTCACAGTGTGTAAGTAAAGACCAGGCTGGAGCATGTGTCAAGTTAAATCCCACAAAGCTTGCTCGTTCCTTTAAAGGTCGGTGGTTTCCCCTGGGATATCTGCTTTCCCTTCCCCAGTCATTAATTCTCTGCTTTAAGAAAAGATTGTCTCCTTCAGAGCATGATTGTTAGCAGTGAGCCTGCCTGGCAGGACGTGCAGCAGGCTCTGCTGATGCTTGTGTAGAAGCCCTTCCTGAAACTCCATTTCCTGAAGGAAATAACTCAGTGCCTCGAGATGTTTTTCCCTCTGAATCAGTCCTGGGGTGGATTCCCCGGGTTGGAGGGTCACACTGCTCTGCTGGGAGGGCTCTGTGCCATATCGGGCACTGATCTTCCTGTGAGGCTGATGCTCGAGCCAGGACACTGGCCCCAGCACCATGCTGAGTTCTAACTCATGGCAGAGTTCTAACTCTTGGCTTTTGCGGGGGGAAAATTGCTTACTTTGCCATTCTAAAAATGTGTCTGGTGTGTTTGGAGTGTTTGGAAAACACAGAGGGGAAATCACAGGACAGAAGGCTGGAAATTTTGTTCGTGTTATCTGAAAGTGACACAAGGTAACTTTGCCTGTTGCTAAGGCCTATGAAGGAATGTCCGAAAACCCAAACACATTCAGGGTGGAAACAGAAATTTCAGTTTGAGAATGATTTTCTTTGAAATATTTAATCTCAATCTAGTTTTCGGTTTCTCTTTTACTAATAATGCAGACAATGCTGCTGTGATGCCTCTTACAGCTAACTGAACATGTGGGACTGACTGGAAAACACACTATTACGTGGCACAGCAGTTTCAGCAGTGTGAGTGTAGGATGGGGCTTTAACCAGGGAGTACATCAGAGCCTTCATCTGCAGTTTGGCCTGTGACATGTCAGGGAGACATTTCAGTAATGTGTGTGTTCCTTGTGCTGGTTTTGTTTACATCTTTCTACTGTTGAATAAATCCGGGGGTTCTTTAAAATCAATCCAGCACTGGAGGTTTCAAGCAGAGAAGGGGAGGAAACAGGTAATAAAATGTCTAAAAACAGGTGAAGTGAACTTTCAAATTGGCATCACATTTCCTGTGTGCTGCCAATAGCTTCGCTGTGATGTGCGGAGGCTGATGTACAGGTCAAAATGAAACCAATGACACTGTGCTTACTGAAGTTTCTGACCCATAAAGTTAATGGCATCACCTCTGTTCCCCTCCTTCAGCTAACGAAGCTCATTTAACCGGATCTTTCAGGCTGTTCTGTCAACAAAGCCATTTCTTAAACCATTTCCTTTCTTCCTTTCCCTGTTCCAGTGGCACATCCCCCCTGGCCTGCCTCAATGCCATGCTCCACTCCAATTCCCGGGGAGGGGATGGGCTCTTCTACAAACTGCCTGGACGCATCAGCCTTTTCACACTCAAGGTAAATGCTGAGCTCTGCTCCCAACTGAGGGCCCAGGTGTGAGCTCTGCTTGTTGCGCAGAGCAGAGTGTTGCCCTGTGATGAGCAATGTGCTGCATGGGAGATTGTCATGTGAGAAAGGGTCTGGAATTCATTGTTTCCTTGAAGCTTATACCTTTCAGCTACATTCAGCCATCTGTGATAAATTCCTTAAAAAAACCACCCTATTATTTCTTGAATTGCACAAGCAAGATAACTCTTTTTATTGCAGTACCTGGTGTCCAGCTCAGGTGGCTGCTTATCAGAACAGTCTTGTGGTGCCAGCCACAAGGGAGAACAGCCAGCCAAGGAATTAAATTGGTCTAAGAGCTTGTAGCAACAAGTAAAATCTTGATAGGAAAATGTATATTCATTCTTCTGCTTGGTTGTTTTGTGTTCCACCACATTCCATGTTACTTAGCATCACTGTTTCCCTCAGATCCCAAGGCCTCTCTGGAACATTTTTTTAATTTCTAGTTTATTGTCCCAATAATTTTAAATACTGAAGAAGTTTCTGGTCTTGGGGTTTTCTTTTGCATTGATTTGTACTGTTGGATTCTCTGATAAATATCAGCTTGATCGACAACAGATATCTCAGCTGTTTCATTCCCAGCTTTTCTTTCTGCTGTTAGAAAATCTTGTCACCAGATTTTGCTGAAAATAGAAAGCATTGGAATGGCTTTGATTGTACAAGTAGGAAACACATCTCCTAAGCTTAGTATTTGGCCACTGTGATGCTACCTGTTCTTTCAAAGAAAGAATGAGATGCTTCTCTGTAACAGGAACTCCTTACTTGAAGAAAATCACCACCAGTCATTGACCTTATGTATTTTGGGTATGCCTGAGTTACTTGTCTAGGAGAGGGCTATGAAGTGATTCCTGTTCTGCTGTGAGCCTAAATATACTTTAAAATATCCTTCTGTATCAAGGGTTAAAATAGGGAAGATGAAAAAAATCAAGGTTAAAGTATATGCAGTTCATTCTGTTCCCACTGGTGTAAGTTTGGGAGCTGTAGCCATCCCTGTTCTGTTTCCCCTTTAGAAAGATGCCTTGCAGTGGTCCCGGAACCTGTCAGTGCCAGAAGGGGAGGAGCTGGAGGACACAGCAGATGCAGAAAGCTGTGGGTCCAATGAAGCCAGCACTGTGAGTGGTGACAATGATGGTAAGTGTCTGGTGACATTAACCCTGAGCTCTGGCACCTACTCCTGTGGCTGACTAAGAGCTTGTCTCTTTCAGTGTCTCTTGATGAAACCTCCTCAAATGCCTCATGTTCCACTGAATCTCAGAGTAAGGGACCTGCTACCAGGGAGAGCTACAGAACTGCCTCCCAGGTAGGAAAAAGTGGGGATAATGGGAAGGGTGAAGCCTCTCAAGGGGAGCTTTTGTTACTGCTGGGGTGGTGTGACAGGGACTAGTTGTGCACAGGTGCCTCAGAGAGTTATGGGGCTGTCTCAAGGAGTTGGAGGATGGGGAGGGATCATATACAGAAGGCAATCTTGAATTCTCTGCTACTCCTGAGTGTAGTGACACCTGAAGATTCACCTAGGAGCCAGACAGCTCTTGAACTGAGGAACATGCTGCTTGGAAGGTTTTTTTATTTTACCCTTCCCTAATGTCTTTGTTCCTTTGTTTCATTTTTTGGATTCTTTCTGGCCTGCAGGCAACCAAACAGAAGAAGAAGACAGGTGTGATGCTGCCACGGGTGGTGTTAACCCCACTGAAAGTAAATGGGGCACACATGGAATCTGCCTCAGGTGAGCACAGCTTTGGGGTGTTCCTGGTGACCACACAGATCTCTCTCCTTCAGTCTCTAGTCACCCGTATTTGCCTGAGGATTTCTGTATCACCCACTGGGAATGAGTGTGACTGCAGAGTTGTGTCTGTTTAACTCCATCAACATAGCTGGTACCTGTAACTGGATATGTAGTTAACAGATAATTCCTGTATGTTAAGCCACTCTCCCAGTTGGGCTTTGGCTGTTCTCTACGTGTTTTTCTGAAGTTGTTTTGCTTTTAGGCTTCACAGGAAGGCATGCTGATGGGGAGAGCAGCAGCACGTCCAGCAGCAGCAGCAGCTCCCTGGCCCTGTGCAAAGCCAGTCTGCGCAGCAGGACAGAGATAAACAGGGATCCTCCACAGCTGCTGAGGGGCATCCGAAAGCCCACAGCAGGTATGTGCCTCTGCTTGCAGGCAGAAGAGTAATTGGTGATGTGCAGTCCATGTGTATCTGAGAAAAGAGCACCAGGATCTCCTCCCTGAGGAGGCGTTTGATGATCTGAGGCTCATGTGCTGAAATTTCCACCCTGAGTGTTACTGAGACAATTGGTTAAAAGTTTGCCTAGTCTGAAGAGCAGCACTGAGAATTGTGCCTCAATATGACAGAACTGTGACCACATATCAGACTTTCAGATGTGTGTCTGTTAATTACTGTGCTTGAGTCATTCTTCACACTTGCACACTGCAGTCTTTCTCACTTCTCTTGCTCCTTTAGCTGTAGCAGCTTAGCGTGAATTTCTTGCCCATAATGCTGAAATATTTTATACGAGGATGTTAATTTTCTTTGCCTGTCCTTAAACAACAGGGCAGATGAAACGGAACAGGGGTGAGGACATTGACTTTGAAACCCCTGGCTCCATCCTCGTCAACACCAACCTGCGAGCACTGATCAACTCCAGGACCTTCAACGCGCTCCCATCACACTTCCAGCAGCAGCTGCTTTACCTCCTGCCCGAAGTCGACAGACAGGTAGGAGCTGCAGCACTCGGGTGCCTTCCCTTCCCTGATTGCCCTCGAGCGTGGAGCAGCTGGAGCAGATGTGCTGTTTGTCCTGGCAGGTGGGGGCTGACGGGCTGATGCGCCTCAGCGGCAGCGCTCTGAACAACGAGTTCTTCACCCATGCCGCGCAGAGCTGGAGGGAGCGACTCGCTGATGGTCAGTGGCTTTGCTTTCCTGGGTGCCTGGGCCATAGGTGCTCATTTCATGGCATTGTTTTCCTTTCTCAGTTAATAAACAGAACCTCAGTCCAGCTTTGCTGTGTATCCAGCTGTGTTACCACCACCTTTGCTTCTTTCTTTTCTATTTTTCCCCCCTTTAAAATCAAAGATGTGATTTCCTTTGGTGCTGTGGGACCTTTAGAACTAAGTGGTGAAGGTGTGAAGTAGTGCCAGACTTATCTTTCCTTAAATGGTGGTCTGTGTCTGGTGAAACATGATGTTTTTCAGACTTCAGGAGCTGCAGGCAGTGAATCCAGACTGGGGGGAGCAGGGTGGTAACAGCGTGTCTGTTCTTCCTATTATACAGCTGCTGTTCTCTTCAAACACTAGAAGTTGCATTTGCAGAATCAGTTTTGTTTGGAACTGAATTTGTCTCTTGCTTCCATGTAGGTGAATTCACCCATGAGATGCAAGTTCGAATTCGGCAGGAGATGGAGAAGGAAAAGAGAGTGGAGCAATGGAAGGAGAAGTTCTTTGAGGACTACTATGGACAAAAGTGAGCAACGTTACCTTGTCTATTCCCTTTTATCTATGTTTATGCAGGTGGCAGAATGTGTTTCTGTTTGCAGATACCTGAGCAGATGCAGCATAAAGTCCTTGAAAAATGAAGGTCGTGGGTTGAATCCAACTGTTGCTTTGGGAAAATACTTAGTGGAATTGGCTGGGTCACAGCAGAATTTTGTAGCCCATCTATTTTGTTTCCAAGACTTGGTTTCCATCACAAATCTTTAAGCTCTTTTATCTTTCTTACTCCCCATGATAGCAATGTGGGATGGTGAACATGTGGGTTCTCCCCTGCAGGGTGAGTTAACAAGGGATCGATGAGTCTCTGCCCATGTTAGTGCTAAAATTGGGATGGGCTTTAGCTTTTAGCTGTTTTTTTGTGTTTACCTTGTAGGTTGGGCTTGACCCAAGAAGAATCCCAGGAGCAGAATTCAGTGCAGGAAGATGCTGAGAACAGGACAGAGCTGTCTGTTAAAGGAGAAGGGAGGCTCCCACGTGGGCCCACCACGCGGCAGAGGGACGGACGCTTCCGGAAACGCTCCCGGGCCGACCTGCGGTGCCGGGCCAGGAGGAACCTGTACAGACTGCGGGAGGCTGAGCACACGGAGGCTCCCAAAGAACCTGCTCCCGTGGGGACAGATTCCTCCCTGCACAAAGAGCCAAAGCCTGAGACAGACCTGAAGAAGGACGACCTGACCAGCTCTTCGGCTGCAGGACTGAAGGCAGAGAGTTCCGAGCTGCACCTCTCTCCGGAGACTTCCAAATCACACAGCAAATTGGAAGATCAGTCATTGGCAGCTGCAAACAGAATTCCCAGTTTGCCCCAGGAGAACTCTGCTCAGGAGTCCAAGGAGCAGAAGAGGAAAAGCTTTGAGGAGGCTGCCTCTGCCTCCTTCCCCGAAAAGAAGCCCCGGCTTGAAGATCGTCAGTCCTTTCGTAACACAATTGAAAGTGTTCACCCAGAAAAGCCACAGCCTACTAAAGAGGAGCCCAAAGTCCCACCCATCCGGGTAAGAGAGAGCTGTAGAGCTGCTCAGTGTCTCAGGGCTGCTGTGCTCAGTGGCATCACAACATTATTAAAATGTCAAGTGTTGCCATCGGAAGGGAAGGAGTCGAAGGGTTTCATTGGTGGAGCTGGCGAAGTGCCTCTGTCTGCCACAGTTTGCTGTCGTATTTAGACAGGCAAAGAATGGAAAATCATCCCAAGGTCTTTGCACAAGAGCACAGGGTAACCTTGACTTGCTCCATTCATTTGCATTTGTGTGGATACAGAAAGCACTTTGCTTGAAACAAGCTGACTTGTTGCAAAAAGACCTTCAAATCATATACTTTATCCTGTGTAGTTCCACAGTTCCTTTCCCTTTGGACAGAATCTCAGTATTCCTTCTGACTTTTCCCATTTTGAGTAGAGATACCAAAATGGGTAGTCATCCTGGTGTAGAGACCAGTTTGATCTCTGGAGATGATGTGAATGTAAATCATTTATTTTGTTTGTCTGCAGGTTCTGATAAAACAATATTAGTGTGAACTGAGCTTTGCAGAGCACAGGGGTTATGGGAGGAGCATGTGCTGCTTCTCTGCCAAAATTAGCTTCTAAGTTTGAAAGTCGAAACTCTGTTGAATCCTTGTGATAAGAACTGCGATGAGCTAATAAGCTGCATTTCACTGAAGATGCTCAGTGTTGGAACTCTAACTGCTTTTCCTGTTCTTTCAGATTCAACTTTCACGTATTAAACCACCCTGGGTGGTTAAAGGTCAGCCCACTTACCAGATCTGCCCCCGGATCATCCCCAGCACGGAGCCCTCCGGCCGGGGCCGGCCCGGGGCCCGGACCCTCGCAGACATTAAGGCCCGTGCTCTGCAAGCCCGAGCCCAGCGCGAAGCCACCGCCGCCATCGGAGGAGGGGGTGGCCCCGGAGGGGGGAGAAGCACCGATGAAGGAGGCGGTGGAGGAGAATCCAGCAGCCGTTCCCAGCACAGGAGATCCAAGAGAGCTTATGGAAAACGTGCGTCAGATCTACAACGAGCACAACTACAGTCGTCTGTTCATCTGAGCAGAGGGAGGGCTGGTTCCAAGGAGTCCAACATGGATTCCTGCTTCTCCTCCAGACGAGACCTGTCTGCCTCAAAGAGTGAGGGGAGCAGCATTCCAGGCTGCGCTGCAGAGGACACTCAGCCCAGTGATGAGTCACTGAGGAGGTCGTTCCGTGACGCTCTGACTGGGTCATCCTTGGACAATGCGACTCCTGAGAGGCAGGAGGAGAGCCCTGAGCAGCTCCTCTGTGACCCAAGGACCGAACCCCCACCTTGTGCTGCGTCACAGGAGAGGCAAAGCACAAAGCTGGGATGTGTGGTTCCTGCAGTGACCAGTCTGTCATGCTCTGGGGGGCAGGGGGTCAGCCCTGTGGGAGACGGGGCTGTGGCGGAACTCAGAGATGTTGGTGCTCCTGCTGTACAGCTGGATTATCCTGATGTAAAGGAAAATTCCTCCAGTTGTCCTGTACCACCAGAGTTGTCATTGGGCAGTACGGAACGCCACGAGTCAGAGATGGTGTCTAGGTTTAGATTTAACAGCTCTGAGACTTTTATGGAAAAGTGTGTTGCTGATAGTAATAACTTCAAAACGGTGACTGCTGGAGCGAAGAAAGTGATCCCTGCAGCGTGTGATGCTGCACAGCTGCAGGCAGGGAAAGGCAGTGAGGGCAAACTGAGCAGTGATGAACGAAATGGAGAGGCTCTCGTGCAGCCCTCTGCGTGTGGTGATTTTATTTCTCAGACTAGGATAGATACCTCTGGAAAACTCCTGCAGCTGAGGGAGAGATGCCCCAGAACAGAACCAGAAAATGCACATCAGCCCCTGGGAGAGACACAGGAGTTGAAGACAAGTGGAGATGAGGAAATACAGAGTACACACAGTGAAACAACAGACACTGCTTCCGACTGCGAAGGGGACGTGGCTGATGAGAATCTGGAGGTGGAGATGTGTTTCAGAAGTGTTGGCTGTAGGGAGGTGACTGGGAAAGGCTCCTCCTCTCACAGCAGCAATGAGAGGTGCAATGGGATTAGGTCAAAATCATCTGTGGAGACAGACAATCCAGCCTGTGTTGTGGACTTCTCTGCACCCCCAGCTCAGAGGTGGGCACCCCCTGTGCCGCTGCCACAGAAAGCTGAACGGCTCTCTGGCTCTGCTCGCTCCGTGTCCTCTGTTGAGACCAACAACCCTTTGGTGATGCAGCTGCTGAAGGGGAAGCTTCCACTGGAAGAAGTTCTCCCAGGGACTCACGTCAACATCAAGCTGGAAATTGCACCGCCAGCGCCGGAGAAGCAGTCGGAAAGCCTCTCCCTGCAGTTGGATAGAGGCAGCAGTCAGTATTTTGGCAAAGAATCTTCTCCAGTTGTAGGATTAAAGACAAGTGCCCAAAGCAGGAACGATGACATCCACTCAGTGAGATCTTCTGTAGATCCCCAGGAAAAGACATGTGGATCAGGGGCAGCAGAGGGTGCAGAGGATCAGACTGTTTCAGAAAAACATTCCAAAGGTGGCTCGACTCTAAGCTGCCAAGACCAACTGGCAGATGTGGCAAGTGCCTCTCCAAAGCCTGAAGATGTGGGCCCTCAGGAAAGAACATTTTCTTCCTGTAGCTTTGAGGAGCAGGAGTTGCCCAAGGTCCACTGGGTGCCACAGCACAACCCGTTAGCGAGTGTCATGGCAAGTAAAAGCCCAGAGAAGCTGAACTCTTCTGCAGAGCCTCGGTTTTTATCTCCAGCTGTAACTTCTCTTGGACCAAACCAGACAGGAGGTGCATCGGTCAATAAAAATTATGTTGGAGTTCAAGGCAAAAAGCTCTTTGGTTCTGGTTTTCCTTCCAACCCCAGTGTGAGGCTGCATCACTCCAGGGCTTTGGATCATGGTTCAGCCATGGGAACCTTGTCCCCCAGCAAACCGATTCCCTCAGACAAGGGCTGTGCACTGGGAGAAGGAATCCCAGCTGCCAGGGAGGAATGGACTTCAAAGCAGCACACCAGCACTCCGGGAGGGATCCGAAATGAGAACGTGCTTGTGTGTGGCAGCTCAGCCAAGAGTAATGCAGAGAACCAGAGGGATGCAGCCCAGCACGCCGCGGAGCTGGCTGGGCACGCGCAGAGCGAGCCGCAGGTCATGGACTGGCCCTTCTTCAAGTTTTCCAGGGATCCGGGAAAAGGACAGAGTCACCCTTTGGAGCCTTCGTCCATCCCCTCTCAGCTCAATATCAAGCAGGCATTTTATGGGAAGCTTTCAAAGCTGCAGCTTAATTCCACCAGCTTTAATTATTCATCCAACACTCCGGCTTTCCCCCGAGGCCTTGCTGGGAGCGTGGTGCAGCTCACCCACAAAGCGAACTTTGCCGCGAGCCGGAACACGGCCCTGGCAGTGCAGATGTTTGCTGACAGCAGCAGTGTCGAGGAGATCTCGTTCCAGTGCTCCTGCAGCCTGAAAGCCATGATCATGTGCAAAGGCTGCGGCGCCTTCTGCCACGACGAGTGTATAGGACCCTCTAAGCTCTGTGTATTGTGCCTTGTGGTGAGATAATAAATTATGGCCATGGGACAGGTTGTATATTCAGTGTGTGTATTTTGATAACAACTGATCCTAACGCCTGTACACAAAGTACTCTCTGTTCATAGTAGAAATGCTGTTACACTTTGTTTTGGTGAGGAACGCTGACCTGCCTTCCCACGGAGATCGACAGTGCAGAGTTCCTGCTCACAGTGACATCCTGGTCTGGGTGGGCTGTGCCCCACGGGAGAGATCCTGCTGCTTCCTGTGATGTGGAAATTCCAGCTGTGCTCTGGTACCGCACTGAGGCTGACGCTGGGGGGAGAGGCTGCTCGCTGTGGCAATCCGCGGACCCTCTGTGGGGGAATCCTTCCATCCAAAGGAACTGGAACAGGGTGTTTGCTATTTCAGGGCTGTGCAAGGTGAGGCCCTACAGTCTTCCACTCTCCCCTTCTGCCATCTCCATTCCCGGTTTGTGTGGGAAGTGCTGCTGTGCAGTGAGTGTAAGCAGAGAGCTGCCCTGCAGTGATGGTCCTGTGTGGTCTTTGGATGCTGCAGCAGAATTTGGTGCCCAGGGATGTGCTCTGCAGGTGGCTGCAGAGCCGTGTACAACCCACCGTGTGCCAGATGGAGCCGATGTGGAGGATGCAAGAAGAGGGGGAAAAAACCTGGGGCAAGTGCCAAGCCGCCTGCTGGCCTGGAGGAAGCTGTGTGGCTGGGGAACTGTGCCTGGCCCAGTGGCTGTGCCTGCCTACTTTGGCCAACTTCCACAAACTGCTGTGGAATTATGGAGGTTCCCTGGAGCTCAGTGATGTGGGCAACGAGTGCTGCACTGCAGCCCTGCAGTGAGGACCTGAACCCCACAGCAGCTGAGCCCCTGCAAGCATCGAGCTGTGCATCTGTGTGACCATCACCTAACATTTAAAGCAGTGTTCTTTCCTTTTATTTTTTTCCTTTTTTTTATATATTTTCATTCTTGGATGTATAAAGTGAATTATTTGGCTCCTGTAAGTATCCTCTCTGCATCTGTTTGATCATGTATTTATATGTTGTACACAGTACTGGCCAACTCTGTAAATGGATGTAATGTACATAGAGCATAAAGGGGTCTTTTTTTTTCCTTGGATTTTCAGGCTCTACAGCAGTATTGCATTAAAGTGGTGTTAGTTATTGTCAGAGCCACTGTATTCTGTCTTGCCTGACGTGACGCTCACCACGCAGAGGTGTCTGGGTTCCAACAGCCTCCCTGTGCCCGGGTGGACTGCGCTGTGTGGGCTCAGGGATGACCAGGTGGGATTTGCTGAGCTGAGCAAGTTCACCAGTTCCTCCTCTTTGCTCTCGATGGTTTTACTGCACCTGAGCTCCCAGGGCACGGCTGTACCTGCACTGCAGGAAAGTGAACATCCTTGTGCATCCATAGAGGGAGAGCAAAACTGCAACTCTCTTCCTCTTCGGAGCAATTCCTAATCAAGAGTGAATTGCTTCACTGAGGGAGAGAAGCTGCTGGTTGATTAGAGTGAGCAGTAGCAAGAGTTGTAGGAGGTTTATTTTCATTTTGTTTCTTCTTGTCCCTTTTCCAGCTTGATCCTACCTCCCTTCACCATGCACTTTTTTTTCAGCCGTGCAAGTTCCTCTCTCAGACACAAGCCTGAGGGGTGCAACAAGTTTAGTCCCTGAGATGGTTTATCCTTAATGCATCCAACAGCCTCATCCCGTGGGAATGAGAGCCCAGCGCACGCAGCACCCCGGGCTGGGCAGGGCTGCGGTGTCGGTGAGGGCGAGTGGAGGTGTGGAACCTGCTTACCAAAGATGGGGAGCGGAGCGAGGGGCTGGCTCTGCCTCCTGGGGGCCACTGCAGTGTTCAGCTTGGACTGGTCTGGGGGGCAGAGCCCTCGGGGGGGCCTGCTCATGTCTGTCCCTTGTGCTATTGGAGAAATAAACACTGTAAAACCTGTTTGCGTCGCTTCAGTCCTTTTTCTGAAATCCTCCTCACTGCTCTCTGAGGCCATGTGGCTTTTCCCGTCCTCTCTTTTAACGGGGGGGTGTTCCAGAGCTCTGCTCAGGTCACTGAGGGGGGGCTGTGTTGCTGCTGGGCTTTGTTAAATCCGGTTTTATGCGCTTACAGGGCACTGAAGATGGTGCAGCTGCTGCAGAGATGCTGTGTGGCTCGTGGGGAATGGACACCCTGAAGGCTCTGAAAGCCACAGTGTGGCTGTGGGACCCTGCAGGGGCCCCCACGGTCACAGGGGTTCCCTGCTCTGCTGGGGTGTGATGCCCATGGGGAGCAGCACCAGGACTGGTCCCGAGATCGTGGCAGGTCCTGCTGTTACTATGCTCATTGCTGGATAAATTGATCTAAAACTGTTTCTCAATAGCATAACAATATGAAACTAATTATAGTTTATTGAAACTACCTGAAAACTTACTTTATGGCCATGTCCTCTCACTTCTTGAGGCAGTAAGGAAACGAGATGAATTCTTACATGTTTGGGTTCTCCTTGCACAGCACGTAGGGCTGTGGGAGTGCTGAGGTCCATGCAGTGATGCCATCCCTGACTTCCTCATGTTCTGTAGTGCTGCTGCTGCAGAAAAGCAGTGAAGGTCTTGCACAGGAGCCAGGGCTGGGGCAGGACATGGTCCAACACAGCTTTCTTGGGGGGGAGAAAAAAGGCTTTTGTGGTTTTGGTAGCTCGCTGCTGTTAAGAGTCTGGCAGGCTCTCTGCACAGTGTGATTCAGGGATACCCAAGGTAATCTAAATAAGCTGAACATGAGGAATGCAAAAAATGAGTAGAGTTGTTACTTAGCCAAACTTTAAAACTCTGGAACTTTCCTTGGTTTATTGGGGTGAAGGGTGATGGTTTCAGGATTGGTTTCCTCGGGAATAGGGGAGCTTTCCAAGAGTAAACCCCATTCATTTCAGAATTTCACACAGCAAATACACTTTTTGTTCTCTGTGATCTCTCTGTGCTAAGTAACAGATTTTCTCCCTCGGAGCCCAGTCTGGCTGGAGCAGCCTGGCTGTGTGCAGGGCTGGCTGCAGACAGAGGGGACATCCCAAGTCAGCCCGCAGAGCTGCGGAAACCTCAGCAAGTACTGCCAAGTGTTTTGCAACTGGTGTGACCCAGCACTGCTTATCCCTGAGGATTTCAGCTGTCTCCTATGCTCCAGTTGAAATCTGGGACCAAAACTCAGCCAGAGGCTCAGTTGCAAACCCAAGGGCGTCATGAACACAGGGGCGTTAGTGCTGTGCTCCCAGACATTAATGGATTCTAAGGATGCTCCATTTGGGATGTGCTGTCCCAGGTGATTGTTTGTAAGTGCAAATGTTCGGGTGGGTCATTCTGGCCTCGCTCCAACAGCTGCAGCCACAGCAATCCCTGGGAAAGGGCTGCTCATCTGCCCTCCCACCCAACACCCTCACACCCATGGAAGCTGCATTTCCATGGAAGCTGCAAACCCCTCTGAGTCTGGATGGTCCTGCCGATCAAACCAGGAGTTGTATCTACACAGCGCTTGGAGAGGAACATTTATGGATGCAAAGGTTTATTATACTTAGTGAATAAAGCTGATAACGAAAAAAATCAGTATTTTCCATGAGGGAGAGGGAGAACTTTCCACAAACTTCAATGAAAACTTTTTTTTTTCTTTTTCTTTTTTTCTCACAAAAACCAGACACTTCACAAAATTAATTCTGTCAAAATATAAGTTAAGCATAAAACTGGTGCCTTGCCCCCTCGTGAGTGCTACCGCTGCTCTCTCTGGTACCCGTGCTGTCTGTTACGGAATGGAAAGCACAGCTTATGTCAACAGGATTGAAAGAAGGGTTCGGGTTTTTTTTTCACTCTGAACACCTAAATTTGGATCCCGCTGTGGTGACCGATGGCACTGACCTCTCTCTCGCCCAGGGCTGGGCGAGGGGCAGTGCTGGGGCCAGCAGCACCCAGCGGGGCTCGACAGTGGAGGAGAAAGCCCTTTTTGTTATACAGTGTTTATTAAGTAGATTCAGTCTTATATATGATATACAGATTCAAAAGAAAAAAAAAAAAGGATTCCACATACTTATGAAATCAGTGCATTTAGCAAGTAATACCATGGAGATAACAGCTCGATTAACAGCTCATTGGTCTTTGTTAAGTGAGGGGACAGGGAGTTGGCCTGTGCTAATCATTCCACAAACAGAACAGAATTAAGTTGCATCACATATATAATAGACACACATTCTAAGAATTAAAATATTAAGCCACATTTACTGGAAAAATCCACAGTATATAACACAAATAACTCTTATCAAGCTCGTTGAGGAGGAAGTGCTCATCTGCTTAAGAGCCACATGAAGTTGCATAGGTGCCTATCTGCAAAAATATCATTTCCAAAGGAATCAATTGATTAAGCAATAAAGTGTCACCTTAAAAGCTGGATTAAGTGCCATACGCTTTCTATCTGAACCCTCGGGAAAGCAGCAGCTTCCCAAAGAGCCTCTTCTGCCTCGCTGGGAGCCTCCCGCGGGACCACGCTCCCCCTCCACCCCAAACCAGCTTGGGCGAGCTCACCCCTTCCCTAAAGAATTCCCAATTCTGCCGAGGAGTGTTTCCCCCCGCTCCCCTGCGTTGGTTGGACCCTACGCAGAGCTGGGCAGCATCACCCTCCTGCCAGGGTGGGAGGAGGAGGAGGAGGAGGATGGGGAGGCAGCACACTGCATGGCTCTGCCCAGATCCGGTGCTTCAGAGCTCTGGATCAGCTCCTGATTGGAATTGCAGCTGATCCATACAACTAGTGGGGGGAAAAAAAGAATAGAATAGCTTGTGCAAAACCCCAAATTGCTTAAAGGGTGTCTCTGTTGGGTGGGTGTCCCTCGGGGCGGGCGCGTGTCGGTGAGCGGGTGAGGCTGTGGCTGGGTTAAGCAGACGAACTGGGTGAGGGGCAGCTTCCTCTTCAACAGCAGGTCTGGCAGAACACACGGGGGCCGGGAGTTCTGTACATGTAAACAGTACACTTTCACTGAGTCCAAAATTAGGAGCAAAAATACAAAGGT